CAACTCCCAGAATTCTCCAGCCAGCTAAGCTAATTCTGGGAGTTGAAGTCCACAAGTCTTAAAGTTGCCAAGTTTGGGGACCCTTGATTTATATCATCTCTCTCTCTCATCTCTCTCTCTCTCCTCCCTCCCTCCCTTTCTTGCTCATCTCTTTCTCACCTATCTAATCTATCTTCCCCGCTCCATACATGAATACAATTAAAACCACCAAAGTTCCTTAATATTGGTATGGGAAGGAAGACGGAAAACATTGTTAGCGCTTGAAAGACTCACTTAATTGTCTTGGTCAATGAAAGAGGCAACAGAGTAGATGCGAGGCAGGGGAAGGAAATTTGGACTTGCAGCCGTAAATTTACAAGAGTCGCAAGAAAGGAAAGAACAAGCATGACTTAGTTTCCGCGCGTGTCATTATAGTTCAGATCTTCAATCTCTATTATTTTTTTCCCCTCTAACAAATTGAACAAATCTGATGCCCCCTTAAGAAGGATGTAACCAGCCCAGACAAAATAGTGCAAAATACATTTGTTTGTTTTATGAAATCATAGTCAACATCCCCTTTAATTTCCTTCGCTAGTTTTATTTTCTTGTTCTCGCCAATTTTATCCTGCTTTTGGCTAACAAAGACACGTTATTTAAGTCAGGGTTATCTCTTTTCTTCCTCTTACAACAGAGCTCCACTCAGGTAGATAAGATCAATAGGTGCTTTGGGATGGCTTATGTGACACTAAGGGATAAAGTGGGGGCTGTAACGTTACCCGTTACCTCCCAGCAACTTGCAAAGAATGGGACAGATTCTTCTCCCAGTTTGCTTTCATTTTTAATCCTTTGCAAAGGCATCCATTTTCTTCCTTAAACCTTCTTTCCAAATTTTTCTGGATCCCCACACAGCACCACCTACCCCCACCTGCCCCTCCAAGCTTCAATTGCCTTAGCTAGCCTGGCAATATAAGGCCAAGGGAAATGCACTTTGCGGCTGCGGAGAAACTAAAAAGAAAATGAAATCTAGACACAACCAAATTTGCCTGTCCCCGTTCTGCCCCTTCGGGTAATTTTGCAATTCTCTCCTTAATTATACCAGCATCTAGAGCTATAATATGTATAATTGCAAGGCAATTAAAAAAATATTAGCAAAACTGTATATTAGAAGAAAATCCGTGAGATAAGAAATGCCTGTCAATATAATTTCTCTCCTTGTCTGTCTGTCTGTCTGTCTCTGTCTCTCTCTCTCTCTCCCCCACCCTCTCTCTGTCTCTGTCTCCCTATCTATCTATTCTCTCTCTCTCTCTCTTTCTCTCTCTGAATGATCCAGTGTTGGGATTCAAATAATTTAACAGCTGGTTCTCTGCCCTAAGGTCCAGCTGGGTAGGTGTGGCTGGGTGGTCGTGTGACTGGATGGGCATGGCCAACTCAACGTCACATGTCAAGGGGTGCCTCGACTCACTCGGCCTCTTCTCCCCTCTCAATGCCTGGCCCTGCCTCACCCCTCCCAGCCACTCCTTGTCATGCCTGGCCTCACCCGGCCTCTATCTATCTATCTATCTATCTATCTATCTATCTATCTATCTATCTA